ATAGATTTACTAATTGAATTGTATATATCATCACCATCATCATCCCTGAGGGAATCAAATTTAACTAGGGTTTTTTATTTTTTCTACCGCATAAAATGATTTTAAACAAGAAAAAAAAAAAAGCAATGTGAAGCAAAAGAAAGATTGAAGGGAAAAACGAGGAAATAGAAAGCTTACTGGCTTGAAATTCATCGATGAAGGACATCTGTGGTTAAAGGTCTCAATTTCGCGGCCGATTTCGATGGAATTTTCGGTACCTTCCCGCCACTGCTACAACGGATTCAGATTTCAGAGCCCAAGAACTACAATTTAGTGAATGCTGAATGACATATTTAGCCTTCTGCTTTCACATAATATCCCATTTACCATTGTCTTTTTCTTTTTTTTTTGGCACAATAAGAGGATTTAGTGGAGGTACGTCAATACACCTGACAAAAATTTATTCGACTCGTCAACTCGATTTTAATAATACTTATAAAATTGAGTTAGGGTCTTTATATCTTAATTTATAATTCGTAGATAACTTGTATTATCAATTAATGAGGATCACAAATCAGATTATGATTAACCCGCGGATTAACATATTGATCCATTTGTTTTATTTTTTAATATTATTTTTAAATATTATATTTATTATTCTTAATTAATTTTTCTATTGATAACTCTTTCTATTAATTTATACTCCTTAATTTTTAGAAAAAAAAAATTATGATAACTTTGATCTAATTACCTAAGTATCATTTTTTATTTTTTATTAACAATTACTCAAGTATCATGAATGAAATAATAATGCAACTAAAAATATTAAAAGATGTGATGTTAGGACATAAACATAATAACTTAGTAAAATATGTTATTGGAAGAGCAATTTTATCATTAAAAAAATGATTTAAACTATTTAATAATGTTTCAAGATAATTATAAAATTAAAACTTTATTTTTCAAAAAATTTAAATATTTTACTTTTAATATTGTTATTATTAATCAACTTATTATTATTTATAACTTTTTTATTTTTTTCTTAATTTAAATATTTGTGATTAAGACTATAAAGTATTTAGTGTTAATAAATTATAATATTTTAATTA